CCCTTTAAAGGATTCTACGGAAATTGAACGCGTCAAACGCGTTCACTTTGTCTTCATTATGTATCTTGAAGAGCTTATACTAGAGGGCTTCAAATCTTATCCAGTAAGAACGTCCATCACTGGTTGGGACCCTTCCTTTACGGCTGTTACTGGTCTCAATGGTTCTGGAAAGGTAAGATCCTGCGTCGCAAAGGATGTGCGATGGCTCACGACATTTTATAGAGCAATATCCTGGACGCTATCTGCTTTGTTCTTGGACTTACAAATCTCTCCCAAGTGAGTAGTTTTGTCTTGTCGTTCGAATGATGTCTTATCAATCCCAGGTGCGAGCTACCAACCAACAAGACCTAATTTACAAACGTGGTCAAGCGGGCATCACAAGAGCAAGTGTAACTGCAGTATTCAATAATTCCGATAGAAGCAAAAGTCCCGTTGGACTCGAACAATGCGCACAGATTACCGTCACAAGGCAGGTTTGTAGCATTCGCCACACCGTAGAGAATCTCGGTTAAGATCTTACGATGTAGATTGCCCTTCCAAATGTTTCCAAATATCTCCTCAACGGCCATAAATCCACTCAACAAGCAGTTCAACTTCTATTCCAAGGTGTCCAGTTAAATATTAATAATCCTAATTTCCTGATCATGCAAGGAAAAATTACAAAAGTATGGTCCACATAATAGAGAATACGTGCTCTTGTTAACTCTTACTAGGTGCTTAACATGCGACCTCCCGAAATCCTAGGGCTCATTGAGGAAGCGGCTGGCACACGAATGTACGAAGAACGCAAGGATAAGGCCAGGAAGACGATGGCTAAAAAGGAAAAGCGTGTTGAAGAAATCACATCGCTCCTCAACGAAGAGATCACGCCAAAACTCGACAAGCTCAGAGATGAGAAGCGATCCTTCTTGGCATATCAAAAGCGTTCAACCGAAATCGAGAAAATGGCGAGAATGCTTATGTCTCATGAGTGGAGGGAATCTACGGAACGAGTCAAAAGAAAAGATGCAGAAATAGAGAAAAGGACTGCACAACTTGCCACTCATAAAGAGACGGTTGCAACTCGGGGGGGAGAGCTATCCGCCGCCGAAGCAGAAAAGAAGGCCGCCATCAAGAGGAGAGACAAGGTATCTCATATATTTCTCCTGATTGAAACCTAAATATAATGGTTCGGTAGGAACTAGC